AAATGTAGTTATTTCAAACCCAAATCCGTTTGGAAAAAGCCAGCTTTGTTTGCTTTTCTCTGTTAATTATTCTTTATCTGTATGTACACTGATTAAAGTTTGGGTAAAAACATTGTACAACCTTTATAGAATGGGTGGAGCCAGAACTTCGACCTTAATTTGATTATCACGAGTTTAAGTGGGCGTGTTTCCTAAATCAGCAGTAGTCGTTAATCAGCTGACGGGTGAACAGGTTGTGTGAAGGTAAATTTGAGAATCTGCCGAGCTGGTCTGTGGCGTACTGGAGACAGTGGTTTATTTTACAGAAACACAGAGGTACGATACCAGCCTGAATACTTTCGTTTTTTTAAAATTATTATTGTTATTTAAATAATGTCAATATGAAGAGGTTACACACATATTACAGACTGAAAGTCATTTTGATCAGTAAGACTGGAACAGAGCTTAAAAATTTTTAAAAAGTTCCATCAATTGATGGCAGGAAGAGAAGTCAAAAAACTTGTTTAAATTAACAAATTTATAAACAGAACTCTGTCATTCAGGCACAGAGAAATTAATGAGTTATAATCAAGCAGGCTATTCATGTTTAAAGTTGCATAAGACAGTTTTTAGTTTTTATTCTTTCAGCTGTAGTTTGGAGGGTATTTAATGGCCTGAGAGCACATACAGAATGGGGATTAGGCATTAAGGGGTTTGTAAATATAGATGGAGATTGAAAATAGTTTAGTAAAGTGTTTTACACATGTATACAATTATTTATGTATTTATTTTTGTGCGAACACACTTTGAATTGTCTTACGGTGTATTCCTAATAGTATCTAAGCACATGTGGTCTTAGTGTGGTGCTGGTGTTGTTGGGGCTGAGTTGTGTTGGAATCTGTCTGTGGAGGGTGATGGCCAGAAGTGTTTGTCTTGTTGTCTGGTGGAAAAATAAATGTCTTTCACTTTCAAAATGCCTCCTACCTGGGCCCGTCCACACCCAGCTCACACCCAGCAACCACCAAAGCTCAAGCTGCCATCAACTACAACCTGTGGGAACGCCAGCGTCACCGTCTCACTGCTCCAAAATCAACGTCTTCAAGCTCGGCTGAAGTTTGTAGCTGCTCACATAGACAAGCCAAATCCTTATAATTTCAATTAAATTCTGTTTTATTTATACAGTAGAAAATCACAACAACAATCACCTTAAGGCTAAATAATAATAATGCTAAACTGTGTTTGTGGCAGCTCACAGCACGGTGGATGTTTGTGCCGTGATGTTGCACACGCATGCAATTTAAGATGGCGCCGGTGAGGTCGGCTGCCGTCACGACTGCTCCGACCACTTTTTCTTTGTCTTTGTTTTTTAAGTTAGTTTTCAGCGTTTCTAAATCGGCAAAATCATCACCATTGGGTACATTAGGTATGACAGTGACACTCTTGTTTCTATTGGTTTACAATGTACTCACAATTCGAAGTTTTTAACTCCGGATCCGAGCTGGCCGAGTGAGATCTCGAGGGAGAACAAAGGGAAGCGGCGGCGGCCTAGAGGGAAGCGAGCCGGCGTCAGGAACAGGCTGAGAGCTCGTGCACACCGCACACCTCTGCCTAGCATCCTGCTCGCCAACGTCCAGTCACTGGAGAACAAGCTTGACGACCTCAGGGCCAGGATAAAGTTCCAGAGAGACATTCGGGACTGCAATCTCCTCTGCTTCACCGAGACATGGCTGAACCCAGCGGTGCCGGACCACGCCATCCAGCCGGCCGAGTTCTTCTCGGTTCACCGCATGGACAGGACACGGGACTCGGGGAAGTCAAGGGGAGGCGGCGTGTGTTTAATGGTGAACAACAACTGGTGCAACAGTGCGAACGTTGTTCCTCTCACACGCTCCTGCACACCAAATCTGGAACTACTGTCCATCATGTGTCGTCCTTTTTATCTACCTCGGGAATTTACATCGGTCATTGTAAGTGCCGTTTATATTCCACCACAAGCGGACACGGTCACCGCCTTATGCGAGCTGCATGAGGCACTCACACAGCACCAGACACAACACCGGGACGCTGCGCTTATTGTGACGGGGGACTTTAATAGCGCCAACCTCAAACGCGCAGCGCCGAACTTTTATCAACACATCACCTGCCCCACCAGGGGTGAAAGGACACTGGACCACTGCTACACTACGGTCAAGGACGGCTACAAGGCACAATCCCGCCCCCCGTTTGGCAAATCTGATCACGCCGCCATCTTCCTCATGCCAAAATACAAACAAAGGCTGAAACAGGAAGTTCCGGTTCAGAGGAAGGTCGCGCGCTGGACGGATCAATCGGTGGCCGCGTTACAGGACGCACTCGATGACGCAGACTGGGGCATGTTCAGAAACATGGACCCGTACAAAGCCGCGTCATATAACGTGCGGAGGGCGGTGAAAGAGGCGAAGCAGCGCTACGGGAGGAAACTAGAGTCACAACTCCAACAGAGTGACTCTAGGAGCCTATGGCGGGGACTAAGGACAATAACGGACTATAAAGCACCAACAACCGGTATGACGAACGCGGCCGTGACTCTGGCAGACGAGCTGAACACTTTCTATGCTCGCTTCGAGGCTGCAGCTAAGGACTCCAACAATGCTAGTGTTAGCGGCGCTAACGGCTGCAGACAGGAAGATACTGCCAGCACCGGAAACGTGCTCGTCATCTCCGAGCATGAAGTAAGGAGAGCCTTCAAGAGAGTGAACACCAGGAAAGCAGCAGGACCAGACGGCATCCCAGGTCGTATCCTCAGAGACTGCGCATACCAGCTAGCTCCTGTGTTCACTGAGATATTCAACATCTCTTTATCTCAGTCGGTGATCCCCACATGCTTCAAAGAGTCCATCATTGTTCCTGTCCCAAAGAAACCCCACCCTGCTTCTCTCAATGACTATCGCCCTGTAGCCCTCACCTCAGTAGTGATGAAGTGCTTTGAACGCCTGGTCAGAGACTTCATCATTTCTTCACTACCAGACACACTGGACCCACTACAGTTCGCTTACCATCCAAATCGTTCCACAGACGATGCCATCTCTCATCTCCTCCACACATCACTCACTCACTTGGACACTAGAAGGGGGAATTATGTTAAAATGCTCTTCATAGACTACAGCTCTGCATTTAACACCATAATTCCCTCCACACTCACCACCAAGCTGGAGCATCTGGGACTCAGCTCATCTATGTGTCTGTGGATCTCCAACTTCCTAACTGGCAGACCACAGGCAGTAAGGATGGGCGGACATGTCTCAGCCTCCACCACTCTCAGCACTGGAGCCCCCCAGGGGTGTGTTCTGAGCCCCCTGCTGTAGTCTCTGTACACATATGACTGTGTGGCCACTACCAGCTCCACCACCATCATCAAGTTTGCTGACGACACCGTCGTGGTGGGCCTGATCTCTGATAACAACGAGACGGCCTACCTGAAGGAGATTAGGAATCTGGAGAACTGGTGCCAGAGGAACAACCTCCTTCTAAACGTCAGTAAGACAAAGGAGCTGATAGTGGACTTCAGCACTAAGCAGGAGAGGAACTACCAGACCCCCGTCATCAACGAGTGCCCAGTGGAGAGAGTGGACAGCTTCAAATACCTCGGAGTTCACATCACGCAGGACCTGTCATGGTCCTGTCACATCAACACCGTGGTGAAAAAGGCCCGTCAGCGTCTCTACCACCTCAGACGCTTGAGAGACTTCCAACTGCCCTCCAAGGTGCTCAGGAACTTTTACTCGTGCACCATAGAGAGCATCCTGATGGGAAACATCTTAACCTGGTTCGGGAACAGCACCATGCAGGACAGACGAGCTCTACAGAGGGTTGTGCGGTCAGCTGAGCGCACCATCCGTTCCGAGCTCCCTGACCTGCACTCAATCTACAGCAGGCAGTGCTGGACCAAGGCCAGGAAGATCGTGAAGGACCTCAGCCATCCCAACAACAGACTGTTCTCTCTGTTGAGGTCAGGAAAGCGATTCCGCTCCCTGAAGACCAACACAGAGAGACTGAGGAGGAGCTTCTTCCCGCAGGCGATACGGTCTCTCAATCGCACCACACAGTACTGACCCACACATATGGTTCTTACACACACACTGGACTTTGGTTTTGCACAACACTGGTCACTATATTCTTCATTTCCGGTTAATACTTGTACAGCTGCTGTTATTGTGTATATATTTATTTATATTTAGATTTCTTTATACATTCTTATATAGTTCTATATTGTGTATTTTGTTGTACAGTTATTTTATTTTCAACTTTAATTTATATATTTATCTTTATCTTATTCTTCCCAGTTAAATTTACCCTTCATTCTAATTTGTGTTGTACAGTTATTTCATTTTTAACCTTAATTTATATTTTATTCCTTCCTAGTTAAATTTACCCTTTTTAATTTTTCATATTTATTTCCTATCTTATTCATAGCCTTTTCCTTTTTTGTTCTCTTTAGGTCACGAGCAGTTGTCCAAGCATTTCACTACATATCGTACTGTGTATGACTGTGTACGTGACAAATAAAATTTGAATTTGAATTTGAAGGCGCTTTATATTGTAAGGTAGACCTTACTATAATACATTCAGACAAAAACCTAACAATCATATGACCACCTATCAGCAAGCACTTTGGCAACTCCCTTTTAACAGGAAGAAACATCCAGCAGAAGCAGGCTCAGGGAGGGGCAGCCATTTGCCGTGACCGGTTGGGGTGAGGGGAGGAAGACAGGACAAAAGACATGCTGTGGAAGAGAGACAGAGATTAATAACAAGTACGATTCAAAGCAGGGAGGTCTATTAACATATAGCGAGTGAGAAAGGTGACTAAAGAAGAAATACTCATTGCATCATGGGAATGTTGCAGCATAACTAAGGGATGATTAATAGTCTGATCCAACCCTAACTATGTGCTTTAGCAATCTGGAGGAAGGTTTTATAGTCAAATGAGTCAAAGACTGAGCTTGTTGGACACAATGACAAGAGGCATATTTGGAGGAGTACAGGTGAGGCTTTCATCTGCTGTCAAGCATAATGGTCGTAGCACCATGCTCTGCTGTGTTTTGTTGCCAGTGCATAAAGTGGATGGCATAATAAAGGAGGACTACCTCCAAATACTTCAACTTCACCTCAAATCAACAGCTAGAGGCTTGAAACTTTGACACAGCTGGGTGTTCCAACAGGACAATGACCCCAAACCCATCAAAACTGGTTTTGAATGCATAAAGCAGTCTAACATGGAGCATCTGGACTGGCCTCCCCAAAGCCCCGACCTTAAACCTATTAAAAACTTTTGGTCTATACTTAAAAGCTGAATATGAGCCACAAAACCAACCAATTTAAATTAACTTTGTTTCCAAGAAGTGTGGTCAAATATCCAGCCAGATTTATGTCAGAAGCTGATCTCTACCAAAAGAGTCTGGCCGAGACTCGCCATCACCAGTGTGTGAATGTGTGTGTGAATGGGTGAATGACTGAATGTAGTGTAAAGCGCTTTGGGGTCCTTAGGGACTAAGTAAAGCGCTATACAAATACATGCCACTTACCATTTAATCAAATATTATATGGGTTATATGTCATCATTGAAGACGCTGATTTCTGTAATAAACGTTTTCAATTTAAAATATGTTATTAAAAGAATATTTTCTAAGTCAGGATAAAAAGGAATATCATTCTTTGACTTTAAATAGAACAGATGATTGCAAAATAGGATGTGGATTATTTACTTTTTGGTTGAGAGTCAGTCCACTCGTGACATGGTGAACGGCCTGCAGGCCAGGAAAATCAACCTGCTCTTACTGACATTAGAGGAAATAATATTTGACCATTTTTATTAAGGACAGAAGGGTTTTGTCACTTTTGTAGTAAGAACAGGACCCAACGCAGGACTTTTCCAAAAAGTGACAGTGAATTTATTTACAGTGAAGAAAGGTAAACAACAACGTGGCAATCCCCACACCGTGGCTCCCATGGCGATTTCTCTAAAATCCCACATTCGTGCGTGTCCTTGGCGTGAATCATGAAACTCCAAATCCCAAACTGTACAGTGGCCCCGCTCCTGTGAAACACTCCATTAACAAATCCTGGCAAGACAAGACACACACAAAGTCTTCACTATGAGGCCGGGGATGTACTGCTGAGTAAACTCAACGATCCAGGGTTGCCTGAAGCTCAGCCCCACAGTTAAGAGGGAGACTGCACGTAATGATAATCAGCTGATAAGCAGACACATGGGCGGGGCGACCAGCGAGGGCAGCCAGCTCAAGATAAACCCAAGAAATACTGACAAGCCCAAAAAACACATGAACCCTGGGTCTGGCCATGACAGGTTTTCGTCCCAGCTTTGGTTAATATTTATTATATGTTTTAATGCATATATGTAGTTATTTTAAAGCCCAATCCTTTTGGAAAAATTCAGCTCTCATAACTTTGATTTAATTACACACTTTTGAAATCTGTGGTGGTGTTGTATCAAACCTTTTATTTCTTAGTTTTTGCTTTTTTGCTTGCTTGCATTTATATAGTGTGGTACTTACTGAACCTCTGTTGTTGCTTTGTTTGCTTTTCTCTGTTCACTGGCCTTTCTCTGTTTGGGGAAGGAATTATGCAACGCAGAATGGGTTGGGATAGATACAATGGGAGGAGCTAAAACATGTCAACATACTTTGAACCTTAATTGTTTGCAACCATGGACACAAAAAGTCAAATAAACATACTGAGAAACTGCCTGGGTGCATTTCCAGTAAAGCCATGTTTGTAAAGTTATAGTAAATTATTAGAAAGCATAACCTTCCTGGGACTTTTCCTTCAGAGATCCTTGAGCTAACTTGTTGAAGCAGACATGGAGAGCGACTCTGAAACACACAGTGGTGAAGATACTACTCCAGATGACTGGTAAGTCTGCTGTCTGTTCTCCTATGTATGGTGAAGGTTACCTATGACTCTTTGTATTTTAGCTGACTGACTGTGAAAAACTTACACAGTCCTGCTGCCAGTCCTGCTGCTACACAGAAACCCTCAGAAGAAGAGGATTTTAAACTGTCCCTGATCACCTGGAATGTGGACGGGCTTGATTTGGAAAAACGTCCAGAGCGTTCCAGAGGCCTGGTTAAATATTTAAACTTGTAAGTACCTGTTACACTTTTCACACTTTTAGGCATCGTTTGGAGAAAATGCAACATTTTCCTAAAAGCTGCACATATGTGACATTTAATATTATTAAAGTAAATCTCTGTAAATACAGACACAACCCTGATGTGGTGTTCCTGCAGGAGCTCGTTCCCCTTATGTCCAGTTCTTGAAGGAACAGCTCGTCAACTACCTGATGATTGAAGGTACAGTATGTCAGATAGATACAGGTAGGAAAGGCACAGGTATGAATGATCAAATGGTGATTAATGGCTGAATGCAGCTGAGCTGCTTTGCTTTGACTTCATGTAACACATGAAGAGAGCTGTTAAGGACTTTAGTCAATATTAGTAACATCTGCGTTCTTCCTTCACTGTTTTTGAACAAACTCTAAGGGCTTAAGTACACATGAGGTAATCAAGGAGATAGGACACACCAGGGAACAAGGGTGAACAAAATCTGACTAACGAGACAGACTGAACAGCATACACAAGACAAAAAATCCAGGAAGTAACACAAACACTGAGACACAGACTAAGGCGCATGAACTAAAAACTGAGACTGGGAATAAAAAGACATGGAAACACAAAACAGACTGGAGAGGCAAAAGGACAAAACACACAGAGAAAAACATGCGAACAGGACTACAGACATATTAACTAGACAAGACAGGGAACATATGCAGACACAGAGACACAACAGGGAAGGCAGGGATCACTAAGGGAACTAAGATCAACCAGGGAACAGAACTAGAAACATGGAAGAAGAGCTAGGAACTAATACTCAAGGAATAAACAAATCATTGACTAAAGATTTGATTTGAAGGGGAACCAAAGCTTAAAAGTCTCCATCTTTCTCTTCCTTTTGTGTTGATCAGGTGGTCGGAACGGTTGCTTCACAGGGATGTTGCTGAAAAAGTCACGAGTCAAACTTGTGGAGAGCGAGATGGTAGCTTATCCCACCACTAAGATGAGGAGGAACCTGCTGGTCGCTCAGGTGTGTGCAAAATCATCTCTGATATTTTTTTCATCTCCATAAGTGATGCTCAGGAACATTTTCGTTTCCAAAACTCAGGTGATCGTCAACGGTCAGAAGCTGTGCCTGATGACATCCCACTTTGAGAGCTGTAAGGAAAATACTGCAGAGCGGATGAAACAGCTGCATGTGGTGAAGCGGAGGTTGAAACATGCACCTGATGATGTCACCGTTGTGTTTGGGGGAGACACAAACCTGAGGGATGCGGAGGTCAGACGCTGCTCCTTCCACTCAGATACAGCCAGTAAACTTGTAACAAGTAATCACAGTAATTCTTTTCTCTGGACCCGTCTCAGGTGACCAAGGTGGGCCTGCCTGCAACTGTCTGTGATGTGTGGGAGCGACTGGGCAAACAGGAGCACTGCCGCTACACGTGGGACACCTCTGCCAACAACAACAAAACTTTTCCCTTTGTCGCTCGCTGCCGCTTTGATAGAATCTACTTCCGCCCGGCCATCAGACGTGGAATCCCACGTCTGGCCCCTGATCACATGGCCTTGGTGGGGCTGGAGAAGCTGGACTGTGGCCGCTACTCTAGTGATCACTGGGGAATCTACTGCACCTTCTCAGCTGAATAGAACTACACAAAACAACCAAAAACATGACAGTTAAGCATTTTATTTTAGATCAGCCGCTCTTTAAATGACTGTAACACTATGCAGGAAGATGTTCCTCACTTTATTTTAATCAGTTTTATCCTCTAATGTGTGTCTGCTTAAGTGTTTTATGTGGTTAAAATGACAAATTAAAATATGAAAAGTACCAATGAATTATAATGTCTTTGTTTTGATGTACACTTACATTGATGGATGAAAAGTCCAAACAGAAGTCTGACAGCTCCTCAGCTTTTAACCTTATTACATGCTCTTCCTCGGTGGATGGAGTTGGGACTGAAAAACACCACACACAGCATGAGAAACCCTACTGTGAAGTCACTCTGTGTGTAATACAAACATTAGACCACTAGAGAGCAGTACACAGTTTAATCGCAACTGTTCAAACACTGACAAACACAAGAAGCAGTGTTATGGGAAGTCGTAATGGTGAGTAGTGATGTGCGATACTACTGATTTCCTTTCCGATCCGATACCAAGTAAAATTCAGGGTGGTATCGGCGATACTGATCCGATACCGATACTCTGTACAAAAACGTAATGTTTCATTGCATTTCATAATACAATATATAATTGTATTATGTAATTGTAATAATAACATAACCATATTGCTTCATAATGATTAGAGGACAGACAACTTGTTTTTATTGTTTAATAATGCAGAATAATCATATAGAAATAAAAAAAAACTGATGTTGTGCGCTATTTGAGCATGTTGCCTGCCTGCAGCACTAAAGGACTCTGCGAGAGACATCTGTCTCGCCCTAGCAGCACCTGTCCCTGTCCTCCTCTTCAGTTCGCCTCAACATAAGCTTATCATATTCTGTGATGTGATTTACTCCGAGGTGTTTGACGAGGTCAGTAGTGTTGCCACAACAACGTGTCCACACAGGACTCTGTTTGCGCTCAGCCATTGTTGTGAGTGTGAATGCCAGGGGCTGCGACACATTTATACAGCCGTATTCCGCATATGACTATGAAAGGCGTAAGAGGAAGTAGTTCCTTCCAAATTAGACGATCCGAATTGTATAGTTTCTTTCCACTGCGTTCATTTTAATGGAAAAACTACAAATTTACCCCAGAGTACTAAAATATCGATATTATAATATGATAATCGATTCTAGAACATAAATTGCTGGTATCGGAAGAATCGATATTTCAGTATCGATCCGCACACCACTAATGGTGAGTCCAAGTTTTAACCACTACACACACAGTTATGCCTGAAGCTGTTGATCCGCTGTTTTAACAGCTACATGCAATATAGGGCAGATCGCGGGGTGCACCTTAGACGTGGTAAAAAGTAATTTTGTGTTTATGTGTAATGTCTTTACTTACATTTATGTTTTCATGAGCAGGATTTACAAAGAGGTCATACATAATTATTATTATTTTTTTTTTTTAAAGCACGTTATGTGAGAATCTTCATGACCTCGGTATTCTACCTACGTTATTACCAATCCAGCGCTTTTTGGCCGCTTAATAATGTTGTTTTTGGTCAAGATGATATCATTCACGAGGGATACATTTGACATATAATTCACAAATTATAGACCAACAAGTCATTTACTGCAGTTTAAATGCCGGTGTTTTAGGTTAACTGGTTATATTTGTTGAAATTCCTCTGCGTGTTCCAGATGTTGCATCCGTAGATTTGTCATTTTCACTGAATGGTTGTCTCTGTCGGCCAGTGTGCTGTTTAGTCAGGCGGTTTGCTCCTAACTGAACTGTGAGTATCACTAATTTACGTGGGTGTGTTTCCTGAATCAGCTGACCGAGCGAACAGGATGCATCCAGGTAAACTCGAAACTGTCGAGCTGATCCGTGGCATAGTGGAGAAACTGTCGACTTGTGATTTGCACAGAGGTATGATACAACGCTGAAGAATTTAATTTCTTTTAGTTATTATTGTTATTTAAATCGTTTCAAATACACTCTAAAAAGTAATTCATCAGGCCTTTTACCACCACTTGATTAAATCCATAGCTGCAACATAAAAATTCTAATTTATTGATTAAGATAGACCTTCTAAGTTGCAAACTTTATTTTTTGGGTTGTGTTGAATTAATAATGTTGGTAATTACATTAAATTAATTTTATATGTAATTTGAAATTAAATCCCAATGTTAGTGGGTTCAAAATAAAATTCAAGTTGTAATTACTTAAAGAAATTGAATAGATAACTTATTTTTTTTCTTCTGATTTCAAATTCCCTCCCCTACCGACTTAACTAGCCCGGGCAAATTCACACATGTTGGGTTGCATGGTGCAAGCTTTTGTAAAAGACATTTCAAGGTAAGTAACATTTGATTTACAAATAACAGTTCTACCAAAGCAAAGCATTTGTGCTAGTCACCTGTAGTGGATTTGTGTATGATGTGATGCTCATACAGATAAGGAAATACTTTGCACTACCACATGTAGCTAATGCTAGCCATTCTAAACTTTAGCACAGCAGAGGATAAGACTTATAAAGTTTCATTTGAGTCTTCAGCTTCAGCTAGAGAGTGCAACTGTGGCTAGGAAAAGCGTGGTTAAAGTTTTGCTACACAGTGCAATCTAATTTCGATCTTAGGCTAATTTTGTTTTTCTTTTTACCAAAATTAGAAGCCTTTAAACTGTGAATAGTTTTGTCAGAGGGATAACCTAGAGGCTTCTTTTTTTCCATCTGGCTCACCTATTTTATGTCTTTATAAAACTTGCATGACCCATACATTTTTTACAAAATGGGCTGGGAGTGAACAATGTGTAAATTCGAAACCTCTGCAAAAACAGGGTTGCTAAAACATTAGAGATTACACCACGGTTATGGTGGGGAAGTCTCCCTCGTCTTCACCAAGATTGTTTTTCTTCCCTCAAAACTTGGGGTAGCCTTAGATCACTTCTATCCTCTTTAAATAATGTATTAGAGCATTCATTAATGCAGTGTAGCTAATAGTCTGCAAGGTTTAATTCTTCTGTTTGTGTGGTCTACAGATAAAGGAGGAGTTCAAGAGAATAACCACTGTAAGCCTTGAATGGCTACACTTGACAATTGCACCCCAAAACTGATGGATGTCATTTTATCAAGGGGAGGAGCTAAGGGAGTGAGAATCAGGCAGATCAAGGACATGCTTCTTGAGGTAGGACAACTATTTAGACTTTGGGTAGCTTTGAAATGCACTTTGTTGTCAGTCACCCATGTATTTTATACTCATATTTTATTTTTTCTTAAATAGCACAAGACAATTGAAACAAGCAGAGAAGTAGCCATCTGCTGCCTTATCACTTTCCTTGGAGAGAAGGACGAGGACCTTTTCATGAAGTTTGGTGTAAGTAATTCAGCATTGTGTGTGTGTGTGTGTGTGTGTGTGTGTGTGTGTTCGTTCCATTGATCATCTGAATTCATTAAGATTCTATAATTCACTAACCTATTTTTTAAAATTTGCTTTACAAGGACACCGAAGAACTTAAGGCAGGTGATGAAAACTGCCATCATCAGTGACCGGTACACCCCTGGATCTAACCATAAGACTGCAACCATTGTGGTGGAGGAAACAAAAATCATGGAGGGCCAGAATTTCCCAAGGTGCTGTGTTTTGCTCATGGGCATAATATATGCTCTCAATCTGAGCTAATGCAAGGATCTGAAATATACTTTTGAAGTTGTTCAGAAGCTGTTCCTTGACCTTGATGGAACCATCATTATGTTAAAGATGTTGACTCTGTTTCAAATTGTTAGCTGTTTTGAATCCTGTATGTGTAAAATTGATCTTAAAGGTGTTTGCTGCATTGTGTAATAGAAAGATGCAAGATCTTGTAAAGTTTGGTAGGCATTGAAAGTTAACATTTACTGAACACTTGCATGGAAGTATTACTGCAACAAAATGTTTTCTAAGTAGATTTTTTTTACCAATTGAACACATTTGTTTCTGTGGTGTTAAATACATAAAGGCATATTCTATAACTTGGCTGTGATGGTATAAATCTAAATTTCTGGTTTATTTTCACTTTTTAAATACAAAGTGTTGAAATGCCTACTGTTAAAAAATAAAAAAGTTATTTGATTAAAAAAATGTTGAATGAATTCCTTTCTTAAAAGCTATTACAATAAAAAAAGAGAAAGCTAAAATGATGATAATAATGATGAAAATCAGCAACTTAATATTTTAAGTAATGAACTTTAAAAAATTGTTTTTGTAATTGCTGTAATTGATTACATAACACTTAAAAATCATTTCAAATAATGTGGAAAAAGTAATTGGAGGAACATAATTTTTATGAGTAAACAACTTAAAAATATGTTTTTAAGCTACCAAATATTACGTAAATGGTAATTAAAATCACCTTTGATTATGGAGGATAATTTAATTCCCGTAACTCAATATAGTTTGTTGGTTCAATCTAATTTCAACATAAGTTATCATAACTCAAAAAGAGTAATGGAAACTGTTGCGTTAATTTTTTTTGTTGAGCTTAAACAATAGTTTTTAGAGTGTATGAAGAGGGTTAAAGAAGAAGAAGAACTAAAGAATTAATGAAACAACATGATTCAAGTGTAGGTTTAGTCTGCCTGCCTTAAAATCCACACGTACAGAATAGGAATTAGGCATTAGGGGGTTTGTAAATATGGATAGAGATTTCAAATAGTTTAGTAATTATTTTTATATTATTTTCTGTATGTTTATTAAAGGTTATGTAAAATTGATAGAATGGGTGGAGCTAGAACATGTCAACATACTTTCAACCACATTTGTGTTGCAACCATACACACAAAGACACAAATAAACATACTGAGAAACTGCCTGGGTGTATTTGCAGCGAAGCTATTTTTTTTAAAGTTATAATAAATGAATAGAAAGCTTAACCTGTTGTGACCTTTCTTTTAGAGATCCTTGAGCTAACTTGTTGAAGCAGACATGGAGAGCGACTCTGAAACACACAGTGGTGAAGATACTACTCCTGATGACTGGTAAGTCTGCTGTCTGTTCTCCTACATGTGGTGAAGTTTGTTTATGACTCTTGTATTTTTCATTGACTGCTTCTATGAAAAATTTGCAGGATGGAATTGGCTGATGACAGTCCTGCTGCCAGTCCTGCTGCCAGTCATGGTGACAGTCATGGTGACAGTCATGGTGACAGTTCAGCCAACAGTCCTGCTGTCACACA